CAAGGTTGTAATGAATAACACCGGATATGAGGACGTTATGGGACGACATGGAATAGGAGAAAGGAACAAAATTGGTGAGAGATTTGCCAACCTATATACCTTCAACAAACTTATCATAGGTGCCGCGATATTCCCACATAAACGTAAATATGTGGAAGATCTAGCAATGACGACGGAGAACGGTGCAAGTGAGGGATATGATGCAACAAAAAAGCTATCTGAATACCAAAGAAAGGAGACCTCAGCAAGTGTGATAATTACAGAGGCATCATTCTTCTCCCAATATCAAGAGACGTCTTCAATAGGGTGTCGGTAAACAGAATGAAGGATTCCGTATACGCTCAACTTTGAGATCAACAGGCTGGATTCTATAAGGATCTACCGTAAATCAACCAAATCGCAACACTACGGATGATTGTGGAACAATCAATTGAATGGAATTCATCACCCCACATCAACTTCATTGAATACGCGGAAGCATTTGATATAGTGGACAAGACAACACTATGGAGGCTTCTTCAACGTTACGACGTTTTTGTTAAGGTAGTCAACATCATACAGAATTCATATGATGGATTAAACTGCGGAATCGTTCATTGTGTTGTTCACTTGAATCTCCCCATTGTTATCTAGGACTGCAAATGATTAGTCTCTTGTTGTCATATGTGCATCGTGTGCGGACTGCATCGTTATTATTTTAGGTCACAAGCTTGCAGGTACATCCAGCTGACTAGTCCCAAAAAGGACGAAACGCGCATCCTGGATTTCACTGCTAGCCAAATATGTAACTACTGTTAGAAGTCAGTCTTCATGTCATGATTTCCGTCATTTTAAAACGTTATAATGAAGATGTAATAAGATATTGCTTTAGCAAATCAATCAGATCAAATGCACTTTGTCGATGATTTAACCTACTAGTATCAAAACCTTCAGTTAATCATTCCATTTGAATATGTGTACCTCTGCAAATTGTTAACTAATCTACTGGAAATCCCAGTGGGTTTACCGTAGACGAATGTATTATGCTGTGTTAAACTCCCCAGCTAATCAGCACAAAGTTGCACCATGTAAAAATCAATCGGTATTCTAAGCAAGATGAACATGATAATGCCAAGTGGTTAGTTGTCTGCATGTTTTGATAATGAGGTTTTACAAATATCAAAACTGCTACATTCAGTTAATCTGACTCATTGAGAAATGTAATTCTGGCACTTATGCGTATTTATTGTAGTGTGAAGGAAACATCGAAAGTTTTGTCGGGATGCACTGGCATTATCCTGAAAGATTTTCAGAATATTAACATACAATGATTCAACGTTATGATATCAGTTCAATAAGAAACAGTAATGATTTAGTGTTAAATATTAATTAAAGATCATTTGAGAACAATTTGTTAGTTAACATGTAAAGCAAAATGCTGTGAAATATTCACTTGTTATTGTAGATTTGAGGCTGTGAAGATTTATTGTTAACATTACAGTTCAATCTCAGGTTGATGGTCATTAAAAGTGTATGAGCAGTGGGCATGTTTGGTTCAGGAATCGATCTTGGCTCACTTGTCTAAAGATTCGACTTTATTTGTGGTGCTGAAATTTACTGAGTTTATTCCATAAGGGAGTCCTTAATATAGTCCCTTAATAAAACGAGATAGTTGTTCTATTCACCCTAGTTTTCCACTGCTGTCTAATTGAGTCTAGACCATAATGCAAACTATGAACTAAGAAAAACTCACTCTATTTTTGTTTTTAAGAGTTCGGCTTGAATGAGTAGAAGTTGTGTGTTATGATAATAGGAAATGTTTCCAATGTTCTATTATATCTAGTTGTATCACTTCGTATTCAGACTGACTACTTCATCATCATTATTACTATTATACGGAATGAATCTAATTTGTCATTTTTGAAACTGTTAGGACATGAATGTGGAGAGATTTGGATCAGTTTCTGAAAGAATCATTAGAAGAAACAATTCTGTTCAGGCTAAGCGAAGTGTTTACTTGTCGACAGATGATCCGAATATTTTTACTCAACTACCCTACAGTTATCCAAACTACACCGTCTATGGTAGTCAAGGTAGATCGCAGTCAGCTAATTTGAATATGCGGATGTCAGTTAATTCAATGAATAATGCAATTATTGACATCATTGCACTTTCAATGACAGATTTCCTTGTGTGTACATTTTCATCGAATGTAAGTAATATATATATATATGTTGACTTGTATTGACGACAATATTACACGCTAATTTTACAGAAGTGAAGTTGTTATTACAACAAGATTGAATGGAAATCACTGATTAGTAATGATTGAGAAATGCAGAGGGTTTTACCAACCTGATGTAGGTCGACTTCCTTTAACAGCAGCATTTGATACTCCATGTGTGCAATTGATAAATGTTTATCTCTTAGCTCTCTGTGAAAAATATCCTTCTGCATGTGAATAAAAAATCACAGCATGAGAAAGCAACTATTATTGGGTCCAGACCAGTTTACAATAAAGCGCAAATTTTTGTCTACTTCAGTGCTTTCAGGTTTAATATGGCGGTCTAATCTAGATCGGTTTATGATTCTAATGAAATTCAACAATGTTCACAGCCCCAAACTGAATGTGTTTCAATCAGTAAGTCAGTCAACAACGTAGAACTTCGTACGTGTGTACATAAGTTCAAGTTGCCATACCACATTTGTACAGAGATACGCTTAATCTCTGTACCACTGCGTCGGCAGCGAACGGTGTTAATGTCTAACTTCAAACAATCCACGAAATTGTGCGAACATCTTCCATCGTACTGAGGATGGTCAGACTGAAGGCCTTGGGTTCTAATACCGTGAGAGGGATTGTGGATGCACACTTCTGAAGAGTCCCACAATAGGACGAAATGGCCGTCCAGTTCTTCCAGGTTTTCATTAGTGGTCTAACATCAATCAGTTCATGATTTCAATCAAAAACGTAATAATCTCCACAAACTTATACTGATAATAACAACAATTCGATTATTTTCTATTTTTCACAATATATTACTATAATATAACCTGTTACCAAGATTCTATTACCATTTGATTAAATATACTATCAATACTCTATATAAAAATTGAATCAGTTTATGACATGTACATGATAGATAACCAAAAATAAAAAATAAATATTTAGCTTAAACAATGCCTTAATCAATACAGCCCGCGCGCAAAACCAGTAGGCCCTGGGTTCGAGTCTCGCGGGGGACGAGGTCGTGAATGCGCACTGCTGAGGAGTCCTACAATAGGACGAAACGGCCGTCCAGTGTTTTCAGGTTTTCCATGGTGGTCTAGCTTCAACTGACTCATGATCTTAACCATTGAAATTGATTGAATATTTGAATATTTATCAGTACTTATATGTATGTGAAATCAATCAAAGAGTCGAAACACATGAATGAGTTCTGCCTGGAAATGAGCGAATGTTGGAGAAATGCACAAAAATCGAAAGTGATTGTTACGAGCGTTAAGAGAATGTTATTACAGCGACCCTGGTTAACCTTAGAAAGCTGCTACATCTTTCATTTGATGCTAAAAGACACTCCCGATTTTACGATGAATCTATTTTATGAAGGTATCGTTAATGTGCTCGAGTTGCCAATCAGTCATTAGTGTGATACAGTGTAAGTGAAATTGAACTACAACATATAAGATTACATTTCTAAACAAGAGACAGAGAATAAATGAATGTAGAAAGTGACGAATTGACTGATTAGTGTGATAAGCTGTGGATTTCTTCTATCTTAGATGATCTTGATTATTGTGTCCAGTTGATTGTTGACATTTCACATCTCTTCACAGAAATACTACACGAAACTTTCATATAATATATTCTGACTGGAGTAGAGTGATCACATAAGAGTTGACAGATTTCCGACTATCCGTGTTAAGGAAACAGTAGCTCGACTGGATTACTTGAATTGCTCAACAGATAATCACCTACAAACATAAATCCGTTGATATTGTACCAAGTTAATTTTCCCGTGTGATTTGATTGGTTTAAGTGATTTGAAAATCTATTTAGGTGAATGGTTAAGATGAAATGAGCCCGTGACTACTAGACACATTAGTGATGATAATGAATAATTCAAAATGCACGCATCTCTTTAAGTTCCTAGATTTGTACAAGATGAAAATGTGTGCACGAACGCCTAACCACTGAAGCACTGAGCCGGCATCCAGGTTTTCCATAGAGGTCTAGCTTCAACTGACTCATGATCTCAACCATTGAAATTGCTATAATATCCACCAAATCCCTTCTGATACTAAACAACATATACATAATGGTGACTGGTTTCAAGAGGTATTTCCTGGAGTTCTAGTGAGAAGCAGTGATCAGTGGAGTTCAACCGGTTCTGTTGTGTGATACTAACCCACTGAAGACAATGATGGATGTGTCGCTCAATTTCGTGGATTAGTTTAAGTTAGACATCAATACCGTTGGATGCCGGCAGGTTCAGTAGTCATTTAAATCCGTTAAGCATTTTGTTTAAAATTTATTGATGGTTTCTTGTCAATAAGAATGTGGTATGGGCTGCTAATATTGACAGATATCAGTAGTATGTGTTATCAATCGAAAGTGAAATGCCAAACGGCAGAAGGTCAAGAAGTTCAGTGATGAAATGAGAACAAGAACAAAGAATGATTAGTGTAGAAACAAAACAACAATGAAGTATTCACGTTAAGCTTCTCAGATTTCACTAAGCGATTCTACAATGTTGTATTTAAATATATTCAATTGTCGCTACCGATGTTCTTGTGTATGTTTGGGTGTGTGTGTGTGGGGGGGTGATAATCATTATATTGAAATTCTATTGTGTTCATTACAATTCGGTTACTTCAATACAAATAATGTCATTCTGAATTATTAACTGAATGAGTGAAATATACATAAATAATGCGCATACAGTGAGCATACTTTTGAGAACCATTTCAATGGTCTATATTACTTAATTGATTATATATTTATAAGTATACTGGCAAGAATTTGAGTACAATTAAATTTGTCATTGAATCAGTTTATATATGAGTTAACAATGTCATTACTAATCTGATTTAAGTATATCTGGTCAAGCATTTTGGTTTTTACTCACCATCAATTATAATTGTCATAATCATGCTGTGAACTACTAATAGGTAATACAAATCAAAGCATACTCCTCCTCCTCCTCCTCCACCTCCTGCTACTATTACTACTAGTAACACTACTTGTAATTGTTGAAAGAAATGACGTATCATCTTTTTTACTCACTTCTAATGGACCTCTTATGGCAAAGTTTTGGTTTTTAGCGGAGATTATATAGATTACAATATCAATATGATTCTGTATGTCATTAAATATATATACATACATAAATGTTTCTTTCTCAGTACATGTCAAGTAGTTGCTCAATAAAACTTACCTGAGAATAGTTATACTGTTTAAATAAAATTAAGTAGTTCAAATGTTTCACTTCAAAAAGTATCCATCTAATCAGGAGGGGATTTTGTGAAGTTTTTAGTAATTTAATACTTAAATTCATGACCATTTTCTTCCTTGTATGAAACTCCTCAGCAGTGAGTATTCACTATCCCGCACCTTGGGACTGAAATGTGTTTGGATATAACTATTGTTATGATTATAACAAAGTTTCATGTTTTGATCTGTTTGTTCAAGTTAGGAAATGAAAAGGGTCAAAATTGTTTTATAAGTAAAGATGAAATGATACCCATCTAAACACTTTAGAAATGTATGGATTGTTGATTCTGTAAATTGACTTGGCTTAATTCACTATATCGACTTTTCTACATAAATTTATGTCTTATATATCATGAGTTCTTAATGAGGTTCATTGCCCCCATGGCAAACGTCGGGTAATTGACTGACATCTAAAATGTTACGTAACATGATTTAAGTTTGTTTCGACGTGTTGTATCTTTTCAACTAGACCTATTTTATTGTTTTAATTTAGATACTGAGAAATCATGTGATGGTTCGAGTCGGTGGTGGCTGGGATACACTGAGTCATTTCTTATCAAAATACGATGAATGTCGTAAAGTTAATCCATGTAAGAATGTTTTCTATTCACATTTGAAGTTTTACGAAGCTTTACTTGTTTGATTGTATCGAACTATATTACAGATCATATGTTATTAGATCATGCTTTAAGGAGGTAGGGTTAATAACAGTAATTATTAGTTTATTATTTGAGATTAGTGTGTTCTCTTAGCCTGAGTTTGTCATCAATCCTACCGATAACAAAGTATGATAATGTTAGGTGGGAAACTATGGTAAATTCGATTTCTTTGACGACGGTCATTAGATTCGGTTACCACTTACGTACTTACTTACGCCTGTTATCGCCAATGGAGCATAGGCCGCCGACCATCATTCTCCAACCATCTTTGGCCTTGGCCTTTCTTTCTACTTCTATCCAATGTTGTTCATTCTCCTCGTGTCTATCTCAATCTATCGGCGTATTGTGTTCGTTGGTCTTCTTCTTCTCCTCCTTTGGACTTGAGGATTAGGAGTGATGAGGACTTGCCTTGTGACGCAGTTGTGTGCTTCCCTCAGTGTGTGTCCCATCCACTTCCAGCTATTCTCCCTGATTTCTTCCTCCAATACTTTGTTCTGGTTTGTTCTCTGCCACAGTAGGTTGTTGCTAATAGTGTGGTGTCTGGCCAACGAATCCGAAGTATTTTGCATAGATAACTGTCAACGAACACTTGAATCTTGTGGATGATTGTTTTCGTAGTTCTACTACTACTGATACTACTGCTACCACCACTACTATTACTACTAC